ACAATAATTAGTTTTAAAAGAAGTCCCAATAATGACAGAGAATGGAGGGGAGTATGGAATGGTTCAGAAGAAGTAAGTGTAAGGAGCATTTGCTGTGGCTATAATGTCCTAAAATAAAAGGAATAAAAATATTTTACAATTTAAAGTCTGTTATAAATATTTCTTTATCTTTTTTTTGGTTTGTTCAACTTTGTGTTCTAAACTTTAGTTTTTTTTTAAATGTATCTGTTTGTATAACACATTGAGACAAATATGTGTGTGTGTGTATGTATGTATGTATGTATGTGTGTAAATTTGGGGAATTAAAAACACACTCCATAGTGGAAAGTGTGAAGGAGACATCAATGGATATCTAGAAGGATCTTGAATAGCACACATTTTGGAGGAGAAAAAAATAACTTCATTCCAAATTTTTAGATTCATTTCTCCAATACACTAGAATTATGACAAGTTAAATCATAAATCTTTGTTATTAAAACAGGAATCTTAAGAAACATTAGAAAAACTGATAATGTTAAATTCTAAAGACTTGGAAAATGAACTTAAGAAATCGTTTCGAGAAAACATTATTGAGTGAATGTTTTATTCTAGGATTTCCAAAAGGTGGAGAGGAGGGGTAAATTTTATTAACATTTAGATTATAGAGACTATGAGACAGTGTTGAGAATAAATATACTTACTGCAGCAAGGGCAGTGGGAATGTCCAGGGCATGTTCCTGCCATATAAAAGAGGAAATTGTATGGGATTCCCCACTGTATGCTGTGACTATCATTGGTTAATAAAGGAACTGCTTTGGGTCTATAGCAGATCTATAGAGAAACAGAGCTAGGTAAGCAAAACTAAGATGAATGCTAGGAGAAAGGAGGCAGAGTCAGAGAGAAGCCATGTAGCCTCACTGGAGACAAATACATGAAATTTAGTGGGTAAGCCACAGCCTCATGGTGATACACAAATTAATAGAAATGGGTTAATTAATATGTAAGGGTTAGCCAATAAGAAGCTAGAGCTAATGGGTAAAACAGTATTTTAAATAATATAGTTTCAGTGTGATTATTTTGAGGCTATGTGGCAGGGAAATGAACAAGCTGCCTCCTTTCAACAAGGATAGATAATGAAAGAATAAAAGAATGAAATAAATCACTTCCAATTTAATGTCTACCTGGATGATGATAATTGAATTTGATGATACAGGAATCTTACACAAAAGGCACTCGTTGAGCCTGGGAACTCTATTTGTCACTCAAGTAAAATTTGAAGAGTATTGATTTTCTGAATCATCATGGAAGATTCATTTTGGGGATGCTTAAACCATAGTATGTACTAAACAAATAGCACAGCTCTTTTATAGATTAGCAGGGACCAAAAACGGTTATTAATTTGGGAATTGTAAAAACCAAACAGTTTCATTACAAATGTCAAGGAGGATATTGCTGGTCCATATTCTTTGCAGAAGGATTTTCATAAACATTTAAATAGCAAAATCACTTCTTTTAATGTATTTATTGTCCAGGAAAAGGAAAAACTAAATATGTTTAATCACTAACCCCTGAGTCATTTTCCACAGTATATAGAGTCATATCCAGGAAAATGGAAGATTCATGTATTTGAGAGTCAAAGCTGAAAAAGATTTAAGAAAACTTATCACCTGAAGCTTTAAAATGTTGGATAGAGGATAGAGGAAAAAGGTTTTAGGAAAATCATTATTCTTCATTGTCCTATGAAACAGAGAGAGAAAGAGAGACAGATAGACAGACAAAGAAACACACAGAGAAAGACAAAGAGAGGGATAGAGAGGGATAGAGGTGAACTTTGTCAGAATTTACATATTTGTGACTTTGAGATACACTGAAGAAATAGTTGACAGAAAGTTCATATATTGAGAAGTTATTTAAACACATTATTTATAACAACACATGTATCCAGAATGTTAAATACATTATAACAGCACATGTATTTAAAATGTATAGCAAAATCACTAATATCATTAATAAAAATACAGCTAATATAAATGAGTAATGATTTGAACAGAGAGCTATAGAAAATAATGAAATTGAAAAATTATTTAACAAGTCACTTTATTCCTTCTAAAAATATAAAATAAAACTTCCAATGGAAACCATGACAAATGTATTACAATGTATCTATGCCCAGTGGCTGAGTATTAACAAAATGGCGGAGGAAATTATGTCAAATAGCTGCCTCCCTCTTTTCATATTGATCCTGAGCATCAAGCCAAGAAATACAGTAGCTGAGTTTTTGCAAAACAATAGTCAGTGAATCATACACCTGATTTGAAAAGGTCAGCAAACAGAGGAGCATAGCATCAGTCTGTATTTGGATTATAAAGGGGATTCTTCACTCATTCTTACTGACTGGTGAGAGAAAATAAAGCACATGAAGAAATAATGAGAAATACTTTTCAGTCCACTGTTATTTTATTTTTGTTTTTATTGAGTCAGGGTTTCTCTGTGTAGCTTTGTAACCTGTGCTGAAACTCACTGTGTAGAACAGGCTTTCTTTGAACTCACAGAGACTCACTTTCCTCTGTCTCTTGAATGCTGTGATTAAAGACATGTGCCCCCACAGCCTGGATCTATTGNTGGAGAACACGTATATTCCATGAGTGTTACTAAACAGGAGATTGGGTCTTGGGGCAGTTCGGAAGGATATTATGGAAGAGCTTATGTGACTCAGGAACCCAGGTCTGTGAACCTGAACCTACATAGTATGTCAGTATTTCAAATTTCAATCCATATTCCACAATTATTTCTTTGTAATTATTCAAAAAGTTGGTTTTTCATAGATATCTCTAACAAGAAGATTTTTAAAAATTGCTTGTTGATCATTTTCCACATATATAAAATATTCTGATAATTCTTCTCTCTGATGTCATCTCAATCTTGTCAAGTCCCCCCACCCAACAAGTACCTTATACACTATCAATAGTTTTAGCTTTTGGTGGCCCTATAAGTTTAATCAGGTCTATATGTGTACCCTTAATTTTGGAACTAATGCTTGGGCCTTAAAGGCCTCACAAGTAGAAAGAATAGGGGTAGACAGTGTTCTTCCTACCCCAACCTATCCTTGGCCCATAGTTCAGTAATGAAATGTATAATTCCATGAGACATGTCCTCTTTCATAACCTCCAGCACACAGGAAATGGCTAGTTTATGTCCAGTGTAAGCAAACATGCTAGCTGTGACTGATATCCAGAATCCATGACAAACTTAAAACAAAGTATGAGAAAAGTAACATAAAAAGTCAAATGTTGCATGTCAGGTCTCTTCTGTTATTCCCAGCTCCACATCTTCAGATAAAAGTTCAGGACTCACCTGGAAACATGCTAAATGCCCCTCGACTGAAGAATGGATAAGGAAAATGTGGTACATTTACACAATGGAGTACAACACAAGACAGCAGGAAAAAATAATAACAACTTGTATTTTGCAGGAAAATGAATGGAGCTAGAAAACATTATTTTGAGTAAGGTAACACAGACACAGAAAAACAATTATCACATCTACTCATTCATAGGTTGTTTTTAAACATAAAGCAATGAAAACCAGCCCACAAACCACAAACCCAGAGACCTTAGACACCAATGAGGTCACTGAGAGAGACTTACATAGATCTAATCTACATGAGAAATAGAAAAATACAAGAGCTCCTGAGTAAATTGGGAGTATGGGGACTTTGGGGGAGGGTTGAATGGGGAGAGGAGAGGCAAAGAGGGTATCAGAGAAAAATGTAGATCTCAAAAAACATCAATAAAAAAAGTTCAAGACTTACTTGCTATCTTGGAATATAACAACATTCAGTGAAAAAAATACACAATATTGAAAGAGATGAAAGGGGTACACATTGGAGGGTTTAGAGAGAGGGAAGAAGAAAGGCAGGGAATGATATAATTATGCTATAATTTCAAAATTGAAAGAAATATAGTAATAAAATATAATTTAAAGAAAGTGTCATGAATGGCTGACTCAATCTTTACAATGTTGTAGTTAGTAATCATGGCTAGCCAACCCAAAACACCAAAATGCTTACTGTAGGTTATTCCATGTGTCATAGAGGGAATCCACAGAGGATAAAAAAGTACTGCAGAGTCCTGATATTCTTGGTTGTTCCTAGAAATTGATGACAAGATCCTATGTCTAAACACAACACAGATCTTGGTTTTGATGTGTGAAGAAGTCAACTGTCCAGGGAGTGTTTTTGCTTTAGGAAATGTAAACATTGAATGTAGAGTCCATTTCCACATTATACAATTTTTCTGAACATCATTATTTTATAGACTGTTTTACTTGATTTGGTTTCTTCTCATTAATGATACCTGTATTTATTGCCAGTGGAATCTAGTAGCAGTTTTTCTATTACTCATACAGTTAAGCTTTGGTGATATCTCCTGTAACTCTATGTCATAGTCTTTGTTCAGTATACAGGAAAAATAAAGTAGTCAATATATGGAAAGACTTAAAGATAGCACAGGGCATATCAATAACCTTATAGGATATCCTTCTTTAGTTTTAACATCTTATCTTCTAATAGCATGGTTACTTTGGCTCACAGTTCTAAATTCTTTTAACTGCACAGTATTATGCTTAGATTCAAAATGTGTTTTAAAGCACATGTGGTTTTAAATGAATCCTATATGACATATGCATATGCATTGTGACCATTACCCACAAGTATAGTTCTGGAGGCAAAACGATTACTTAAATGCTCTCCCAAGGATAGTTCTTTCTGACAGGAACACTCAATAAATCATCCCAACAGAATCTGACCTTTAACTTAATCTTATTAGTTTAGGGATGTGAGCTCATATACCATTCAGCAAGGCCAAAGAGGAAATATTCGACACATGCAGGTTGTTGTGGTACAGAACCATTGGTTGATTCCAGAAACTCCCTCTAACTAACTGTATAAAAAGCTTTGTCAGTTCAGTTCCTTCACAACCAATATTTTGAGCTTCTGCAGAAGAGCAAAGTCAGGCACTGCCATGGTAAAATTTCTACTGCTGGCTTTGGCATTTGGCCTGGCTCATGCGGAGGTAAATTCATTTGGTCTGTGTCTAGGTTTGATGTTCTTCAATAGCACATTTCTGAGGATGTGATGTGTTGTCCAGTTAGTCCATATTCATGAAATAACCTTTCTGACTTTCACTCAATTAATTTTTCAGTCTGATTTTCTAGGATGAAACAAATGAAATAAGATAACAATGGGTTGAATATGCAGAGGTTAAGAGGGCAAAACATGAGCAACTCAAAGTTCCGGTTCAATGTGCTATGTTAATTGAGTCATCATATTGCCCTGTGTTATTCTACATCCCTAGAAACATAATCTTGAAGTAATAAAAAAAATTATTTATTTATATTTCTAGTTAGCTTATGCATTTACAGTGACTGAGATCAATTGTCTTTGCTGTTTTCTTTAGATTGAAGGAAAGTGGGATACCATTGCCATTGCTGCTGACAATGTGGACAAGATAGAGGAAGAAGGACCTCTGAGACTCTATGTTCGTGAACTTACTTGTAGTGAGGGATGTAATGAATTGGAAGTCACATTTTATGTCAAGTAAGCAAATTGTCAACTATGTAAACTGAGTAGAATATTTCCACTTCTCAGCTTTTATGTTGTCAAACTTCCAGGGGAATGTTCTGTTTCTGGTCATGAAATTTAAGGCCTCATCTTTGGCAATGTGATTATTTTATTCTGTGATGGTTTAGCTCTAGACACCACACAAAAGTTAGATATTGTCTCCAATTCCATGAGTGTTTCCTTAGAAATACATTTGGTTGGAGGCCAGTGGTTGAATTTTGTGCCCAATTATTAGATTCAGGAGACTCTAGTAATTTAAGAGGCATATGTGAGCATTTGGCTCAAAGTCACATATATTATCTTATTCAGTCAATGACATCATAAAAAGTCTTCCAGGTCAGATAAATCTAATTTGTAAATCATTTACTTTCATGCTCTAGTTTCAAAGACATTCTATGACATTTGGATGACTATGTTCATTGTAAGAGTGTATAATGCCATAAGAACTAAGAAAGCCTAGAACCATTTCTATGTTCTAGCTACAATTGTAAGTTTTTGTTTACAAATTAAATCACTTAAAACACATGCATATAATCCTAAATACATATTATGACTGGAGTAGAACAATAGAATTAACATATTGAAAGCCATACTCAGTGAATAGTGAAATTGGGATAAGAAAGCCATCAGAGTCTTCACAGCACTTGGAAAAATGCCACAAATAAAGGAAGTCATTTTTATGATTACAAACAGGATAATATTTTATAAAAAAGAATTAGGAGAAGTGAGGTAAGCTTAGGTACTTCTGTTCCAGCTCTGTACACTGTTCATAGATACTATTACTTCATCAAGTTTATTAAAATATTGAAGCTATTTTAATATGAATTAAAGGTTATTAAGTATAAACCAGGGTTCCTCTGTTTGATTTTTAGTGAGAATGGCCAATGTTCAAAGACCAAAATCACTGGGTATATGCAAGAAGATGGCAAGTACAGAACCCAGTGTAAGTATTGGTTCTGCGAGCTTCCTCTATTAACAAAAAACTGTGGGTATGAACACATACACAGATACCACAGCCATTCATAGGTACATGAACCTAAAACTAATTTGGTTACTTGGAATGTTATCAATCCTTCCAACCAGCTGAGATATGCTACAAAGTTAGAGTATATTATAGGTCATCTGAAGCTTACATGGAGAAGAACACTATTAAATGAAGATGTGAATAATGTTAACAAAATATCTCCAAATAGTTTCCTGCATAAAAATTTGTTTCTATATAATATTCAGTGTCTTTTCTTTCATACAGTATCTTGGTTTGTTATTGAACAGGGCTGCTATTCACTTATTGGTCTCAGTGGCCTAGAAAATCTTTGCAAACTTCATGTCTCAGACTATCTAGTACTTATATTGCAGGCATTATCTATCATCCTGAATTCATGGAAAAATTAAATTAATGGTGCTATTTTAAAGTTTCATTTTCTCTTATTTTATACAGATCATAACATTTAGATCTTGGGATGAAACATTTCAATTTTGAAAAACAGTTAGGGGAAATCTGTTTAAGAATTTCAGATTGACTAATTTAATTTCGTAAAAATTGCTAAGATAATAACAATATTATTAAACTGAATTATACACAGGATGACCTTTGGTTTGATCTTAAAATAAGGGAATCTTGCATTCTTCTGGCAAGCCTATTATTTTCCAAGTTTAAATGGATATTTAAAGGAGCCCAGTAATAGAAAGTGACCAGATCCAAAAATCCTTTTTTTCCCCATGAAACACACTTATCGTTTAATCAGTGTCAGTAAGTGGAAATACCACACACAGACACACACAGACACACAGATACACACACACACACACACAGAGGCAGAGACAGAGATGGAGATAGAAACACACACAGAGAGAGACACACACAATATGAAGGTCTGGAAAACCTAAAATGTTCATTCTTACATCTTTTGCATTCATAATCTTACAAGATGAAAACTTGTATGCATATATCTAATTACAACAGTAAGTCTTTTTGCATATGTATTCATTTGCCCACCAAATATTACCATGGTGTGACACCAGAGTTTTACTGTTTCCAGAAATTGACATGTGGCCTTTTAGGATCTGGTTAAAGGGGAAAAAAATAATCCCACAGGTCTTGATGCAAAGAATTCAGAGAAAATGGAATGTGTCCATACCTAAGATTTACTATCAGGTTTAAAGAGTGGGGATACTGGTCACTGTATTATGATGAGATATGTAAAATGAATGACTATAGGAAAATATTTGCACACATGTGTCATATGATAGTGAATCAGAGATGATTCCTAGAGTATGGATTAATATTAATGTTTAGTCAAAAGGTGACATCAAACAAAGTAGAAAGCTAAGTGACACTCATTTTGAAATGTTTCTATTATTACAGTTGAAGGTGATGTTAGATTTAAATCTGTGCATGCAACACCAGACAATATAGTCTTTATCAGTAAGAATGTGGATCGAGCTGGCCGGACAACAAATCTGATTTATGTTGTTGGTAAGTATGGTAGTGCACTTTTGGAATAGTAAGAAAGGTATCACCCTGTAAACGAAGATTATGTCAGATTCACCCTTGAAATACTTTATCATGGTATTTCCAAACTCTTGTCCACTAAATAACAATCTGATTGTTGTGTGGACCAACTTTTACCCTGTAAAAGAAGATTATGTCAGATTCACCCTTGAAATACTTTATCATGGTATTTCCAAACTCTTGTCCACTAAATAACAATCTGATTGTTGTGTGGACCAACTTTTACCATGTAAACGAAGATTATGTCAGATTCACCCTTGAAATACTTTATCATGGTATTTCCAAACTCTTGTCCACTAAATAACAATCTGATTGTTGTGTGGACCAACTTTTACATTATATTGTAATTTGAGGAGCGTGGTCATTGCATATTAGAGGTGAAGGAAAGACTATTGAAAGTGTTTATGTTCATGTTTCCTCATTAGAAAGAATGAAGTAAATATTATTTTCTCACAGTTCAGACAATTTTGAGTGTCATTTGACCCACTGTGTACTAAATTAAAACATGAACTCTAGAGTATAGAGTTGGGAGAAATGTGAAGGCTCCATTGACAGGCCTTCATGACTCTCTAGTGTTATGGTTTTGAAAGTACATAGGACTGAGATGAGTGAATTCTCTAGGAAATTTGTTTTATTTTTTTGATATATCATGAAACCCTGAAAAGTGGTGTCATAGTACCATATAGACTTCATTAAATATATCCATGAAATTTGAGGAAAATTTTTTATTGATTTTATTGATCCACCCAGAGTAGATAAATTTGGAGCAGTTGGGATTTTCCATTGTTTATCAAGGAGGGACATGAAGGAAGCAATGTAAATACTGAAGAATTCTACTGAACATGTCTGTGATATTGTCATTCTTGCAATGTAGGAAAAGGTCAACCTTTGACTCCTGTACAATATGAAAAACTTGAGGAATTTGCCAAGGAACAGAACATTCCAACAGAAAACATTCAAAATGTTCTGGCTACAGGTAACCTCAATGAATTTTTTTTTTTTGCTCAAAACATATATATATATACATATATACATATATATAATCTGTGTATCAATGTATACATATATAGCGAGTCTATCTATCTACAACTTTATATCTATCTATATACTCAGTAATACAACTGATTTAGATTATAGATAGTCATATGAAATATTTCAGTTGCTATTTCCAGAAATAATCCTTATGGAGCTGTTCTCATATTCTTATGAGAACATTTATGTCACTCTTTACCTTACTTATGTTCTTTTACAGATACTTGTCCTCAATAACAACATTCTGTAGGTGAGTAGAAACAGAAGTCAGGCCTAATTATTTTGATATTTGGATAAATTTGTGCTTATTACATAAAAACTTATAAAAAATATGTGACTAAAGAAAAAATGGATCCAAAATTGGCAAAATCAAGACAGGATATTATGTATCTTTTAAAGCAAAAATTCTTACACTGATAGAAATGAAGGATAGAATATTTTTATTTTTAAAACAATGTGAAGAATTTTATCTAATTCAGAATTGTTAACATTTTTATATTGAGGAATATTCCATCAAGAAAATATGTCTTCTCATTTGAAAAATCTTACTTTAGTTATGATTGTAGTGCATTATTTGTCACAGATATAGTAAAGCATCTTGATCTTTCAGTATATTCCTTGAAACATTTCAATATAAATTTTTATGTAGCATCACAGAATGCCATTATTTTCTGTCAACTGTGCTCCTATACAATCCAAAGCACAAGATATTGGTGATTTCTGGGAAAGGAACTATTTGTGTACAATCTCTTCTCCATACTCAATATATTGTTATATTTCATTTTGCTTCTGTGAACTCTCAATGGGAAATCATTCCTGTCTGTTCAATCATGTTTTAATTTTTGCTTTTATGTCAGCAGAGACAACAGGAAGAATGGAATGATGCATCATATCCTCTCCACCATCACAACAGCATCACATATAAATCACCATTTCTTTTTAAAGTAATTCTTCCCACTCATGTGAAGTCAGAATACTACCTACCAAACTCCTGACTTCCCTTTCCTTCCCCTGTTTATGATATGTGAGCTCATCTTATATTTTGAATGACTAAATAAAGTGTTTCAAGAAGCAATATTACCTTGTGAAAGGGATCTCATTCAAAAAGCATATAAACAGTCACCAAGCTAATTAAAATAACCACTCTAGTATAAGAAATGATATCTGCATTACTAAAACCTATAGAAATAATTAGAAATGTGACAATTACTGGAGATCATGAGCAAGAACACTGCACAAGTGAATTTTATGTTGTGCTACATATTTACTTTCAGCTGAAAATTGTGATTTGCAATTGAACAGTCCAAAAACTCTAAAGTAGTTCACAGAACAAACTGTTTGGGTCTGCCTCCAGGTTACACATTATTTAAATGATAGGATGAAATATGTTTTCAAATGTCCATCTGAGAGGATTATCTTTTGTTAAATACTTCAGGAAGCAAATGGATCAAGATATGCTTAAATAGTGTACATATGAGTCACTCCCATTTGAAGAATAAACTTGTGAGAATGATATCCCATAAATACCATACCCTAAAAATATGCATGTGTTTATTACAATTTTCTCTTTGTATTACAATGATTCCTTGGCATGTACTTAGCTATCAAATTAGAAAAGGCAAAGGCAATCTTCTTTTAGGGCTTGGAACAAGGAAAAATGAAAGATATTAGATAATGTTGCTACATCCAGTCTCATTAAATTTAAAGATATAATGAAAGCAAAGTACATTTATATTCATAAGCAAGAGATTTGAATAAAAACAATGACATAATTTTTTGTTGAAAATCCTGTTATTTGAACTTTTGCTCTGTGCCTTGTAAAACAACATTATTTTAGTAAAAACAATTGACTAGTGTCTTCTAAAATTTTGGTATATTCAATGTACCCCTTGGTCTTCAATTACTTACTACTTATAAGTGGTCTTATTTTAGAGGTAAAAGAAATATGGCTACTTCTTTTACTATCAATGTTTGCTTTCTAAGCTGGTAAGCCCTCAAATGGCATGGAAGTTCTAAGGCTCACCATTCACATCCTGATAATATGGGTAAAGTATGCACAATCTGAATGATCACTCAAAGGTGATTAGTTGAACGTATGTCTTGAACTGTAGAACATAAATCCTGCTTGGTTCTATAAATATGTTCAGCTACCGTTGTTCTTTTCATCAACCAGTGTAATTTCTAAGTGTATTCGGGAATGGTAATTGCTTAAACAACACTACTTGAAATGATCTAAATACCAGTCCTACTTGGTAGTACACTCATGGTGACCAGATATAATCTTCCTTCATCAAACTGCAGAATACATTGGTTCTGAAGATATGTTCTTATAACAGCCTGAAGCTCCCAAAAGGTTCCAGTTTTATAAGCTAAAAAAGCCAGGAATCCTCATTTCTTTGCCTCCTCATGAAAATGAACATCAAGAAAACACATGATTCAAACATGTATTATAGAACTAAAAATCATGTTCTCAGAAAGTGAAGCACACATGTCTGAGAAACAATTTAATGTGTTCAATATAGTTAGCAATCATGGAAATATAATTAAAACTACCCAGAGATTTTTATCTTACTTCTCTTAGACTGACCAAGATTATTAAAAGAAATGATGCAGGGAAAGGGCTGCACTTGGACCTGGTTAATGGAATTGAAAAAGTGATTCAGTAGTAATCAAAATCAGTAGGGAGGATTATAATATGAGAGCATCAGTCTTACCACAAGTCCTTCAAAGAAGAATTACAACAAAACTCTCTTGACATTTTATTTTAAACATGGAATGGAAAGGATCACTCCCAAACATGTTATATATAGCCAGTGTTAATTTAATACCCATCAAAATCACACATGCATTCATTCATATGTACACATATGCGTGCACATAGAGGAAAACATAACTGATGATAATAGAGGCAGAAAACCATTAGAAAGTACTAGAAATCTTTTTTGAGGGTTTGGACAAGGAAAAGGAAAGATATTAGACAATGTTACTATATCCAGTCTCTTGAAATCTAAAGTTATAACAAAATCAAAGTTCATTCAATATTCATAGGCAACAGATATGAATAAGAAACAATTACATAGTTTCTCAAAATTTGTTATTTAATCTTTCTTTGAGTGCCTTGTAAAATAATGCGTCTTCAGAACAAATACTTGACTGATGTTTTGTAAAAATTCTGTATATTCAATGTACCTTTATATCACTTCATCCCCATTTTCCAAATAATTACTACTATGCTTGTGCTCCCATCCCTTTTTCCAATTTCTCCAACTTCTTCATGAATATACATATTTATTTGAACATATGTATGAATTTGTGTGCACGTCTGTGTGTGAGTGTGTGTATTTAGTGCGAGGAGACTGACAGAAAAATTCATAGCCCAATGGTGTCCATTTAGTGTTTCTAACATGTATTCATGTTTAGTACTGGCTCCTTAGTCTTCAATTACTTATTACTTATAAGTGGTCTCTTTATAGAGGTAAAAGGAATATGACTACTATTTTTACCATCAGAAGATGGTAAGTCTTCTAAAATGCTAAGTCTTCAAATGGCACAGAAGTTTTAAAGTTCACCATTCACAATGTGATAACATGGGTAAAGAGTGCCCAATCTGAGAGGTAACTCAAAGGTCATTAATTGAATTTACATCCTGAGCTGTAGAAGAAAAATCATACTTGATTCTATAAACATTTCCAACTATCAGTTATGCTTTTCATCAACCAGTGTAATTTCTATGTGTATTCTGAATGGTAGCTTCTCAATCAAGACAACTAGAGATGATTTAAATACCTGTCTCAGTTGGTAGTACTCTCATGGTGACCAGGGATAATCTTCCTTCATCAAATTGTAGAATGCATTGTTTCTTCATATGTGTTCTTATAATAGCCAGAAACCTCCAAAAGCTGTCAACTTTGTAAGTTAACAATTCTAGGGGCCCTCATTTCTCTGCCTTCTCAGCAAAATGAACATCAAGAAAACAAATGACTCAATTTTAAAACCTGTATAATAGAACTAAAAATCATGTTCTCAGAAAGTGAAACACAAATGTCTGAGACACACTTAAAGTGTTCAATATCCTTAGCCATCAAGGGAAAAAAATAAAAGTAACTAGAAAATTTGTCTTACTGTTGTCAGAATGACCAAGATTAATAAAAGAAATGATGCAGAGAAAGGGCTACACATGGCCCTGATTGGTGTTAAATGTCAACTGATTCAGCTGCTGTTAAACCCAATAAGGAGGATCCTAAAAAGACAACATCAGTCTTATTATAAGTCCTTCAATGAATTACAACATAAATCTGTTGAGACTTTATTTCAGGAATCCACAAGGATGAAGAATTGAACCAATACTGGAAAGGGTACCTGAAATGCCCTTTCCCTCTAACCAGATTGATGACTACATTAATTGTCATTGTAGAACATTCAACCAGTATCTGATGGAAGCAGATGCAGAGATCCACAGCTAAGCACTGTGCCACACTCCTGGAGTCCAGTCATAGAGAAGGAATATTGATATGTGCAAATGGGCCAAAAACATGATAGGGAAAATCACAGAAACAGTTGACCAAGGCTAGTGGGACTGACAACTGGGGAACCTGCATAAGACCAAACTAGGCCCTCTGAATGTGGGTGACAATTGTGTGGATTGTGCAGTTTGTGGGCCCACTAGCAGTGGAACCAGTATTTATCCTTAGTTCATGAACTGGCTCTTAGGATCCCATTCCCTATGGAGGGATACCTTGTTCAGCCTATATACAGGGAGGAGAGCCTTGGTCCTATCTCAAGTGATATGGAAGACTTTGTTGACTCCTCATGGATGGCCTTACTTTTTCTGAAGAGTGGACAGGGGTGGAATGGGAAAATGTTGGAGGCAACGGGAGGACAGGAAGAAGAGGGAACTGTGATTTGAATATAAAATAAGATTATTTTAAAAATAAAATAAAAAGA